GTCAGAGCAGCAGACAACAACAACAACAACAAACCTGGTGTCAGAGCAGCAGACAACAACAACAACAGACATGGTGTCAGAGCCGCAGACAACAACAACAACAGACATGGTGTCAGAGCCGCAGACAACAACAACAGACATGGTGTCAGAGCAGCAGACAACAACAACAACAGACCTGGTGACAGAGTAGCAGACAACAACAACAACAACAGACATGGTGTCAGAGCAGCAGACAACAACAACAACAGACCTGGTGTCAGAGTAGCAGACAACAACAACAACAGACCTGGTGTCAGAGCAGCAGACAACAACAACAGACCTGGTGTCAGAGTAGCAGACAACAAAAACAACAACAGACCTGGTGTCAGAGTAGCAGACAACAACAACAACAACAGACCTGGTGTCAGAGTAGCAGACAACAACAACAACAACAGACCTGGTGTCAGAGTAGCAGACAACAACAACAACAACAGACCTGGTGTCAGAGCAGCAGACAACAACAACAACAACAGACCTGGTGTCAGAGTAGCAGACAGCAACAACAACAGACCTGGTGTCAGAGTAGCAGACAGCAGAACGTTCTGCCGGGCCGGTCCCGTGGAGTTCAGGTTGTTTAAAATGACCGTCAGATCCTTCTCAAAGCCCAGGTCCAAAATCCTGAAAGCAGCATGAGATCAGAACCTTCAGTTTTAACGGTGCGTTCACTGACAACCTGGACCGGCGCCAGTCACCTGTCGGCCTCGTCCAGAACCAGCCAGCGGACGGCGCTGAAGGCGATGCTCAGGGTGTGCTGGATGTGGTCCACCAGACGTCCAGGAGTGGAGATCAGGATGTTGATTCCTTTACGGATCCTGAAAACAGACCAGAACTTACACCCTGCTCACCGGTCCAACTCTGCTTCAGGCTGACAGGCACCAGGACCGTGGTTCTGGTCGGGTTTTCTAATGACGGGTCTGTTTTCATTGGACTCAAACGTCTCAGGAACACGTAGCAGAACATTCAAACCAGAACCAAAGAGTTGCTGAAGACAGAACTCAGATGAGTCCGGGTCCAATCTTCACCATCACCAAGCAGAGTGGGTCGGACCATCTCACAGAACCAACCAGCTGCAGTTCTGCTGCAGAAAACCTACTGAGATGTTCTGTGGTCTCACCGGGCCTTCTCAGATTTCCTCTTCTCTCCTCCCATCAGCACACCTGGGACGATCCAGGTAAACGGCTGCAGAGACAAAACCTGTCAGCTGGTTCTGTTCAGCCGTCTGGAGTTAGTCCAGACCAGAACTTTCAGAACCAATGGTGGATCTGCGTTACCTTGAGGAGTTTCTGGACGGTCTGGAAGGTCTGCAGAGCGAGCTGTAAAATGAGAATAAAGAGTCAGAAGCAGGTCCAAACCCGGGAGCACCACAGAAATGAACGGGTTCTGGAGTCCGGACCTCTCTGGTGGGGACGATGATGAGGGCCAGCGGTCCGTCGGACCTGCTGACCTTTGGCTGGACAGACTGAAGACTCTGAACCAGCGGGACGGCGTAGGACAGAGTTTTACCTGCAGGCAGAGAGAGACGGGTCCGTCTGAACCGCTCACAACAAACCGACAGTTCGATTCCACCAGAACCAGACCCAAAGAACAGTTCTGACACAGCTGGAGGTGGGACTCACCTGAACCGGTCTGAGAGCGGACCAGAGAGTCTCGTCCGGACAGAAGAGAGGGGATGGTCTGCTTCTGGACGCTGCACGCACACACACACACACGGAGTCACACACACACACACACACACACACACACACACACACACACACACAC